CTCCATATTGGTCAGGTTCCGCCTACCTTGATTATGCCGTTGAAAGCCCCGTCAGGGTCATTTGGAAAGCATCTTTTGGCATGAGTATCATGGGGGCAATGCAGCCAAATGAGATGAAACCATTGGTGCAGATTCAAGATATCGTTGAATGTCCCGTGTCCACAGCAACCACCACCACCACCTCCCAGGCGTGGCAAGTCACTTCAGGCCCTTGTGTCGAGGAAACAGGCGGTTGCATCTCCAGCCCCGGCTATCCATCCAGCTACGGTAACCGCCAGGCATGCTCCATTGAAGTTATGGACTCCCAGAGCATATTACATGTCTCCCACTTTGACACAGATCCGTACGATAGTCTTGTAGTTGCCGGCGTGGGGTACAGTGGTACGCGAGGGCCACACTCCATGCTGCCAGGGAAGCAAATACTTTGGAGTTCCGACGCGGCACTGGTGAAAGCAGGCTGGCAAATATGTCTTCGCCCCTTTGCCGCGGTGACAAAGGAGACTTCCTATGCTGGCTGCAACTTTGAAGATGGCCTATGCATGTGGTCAGTCGAGGCAACCAGCACATCCTGGCAGCACGTCAACGCTTCCAGTTTACCAGACGGCTTGGAAGTTGCAGCTTTTGCAGGGTCTGGATTTGCAGCTGTGCAAGAGTCCGCATCCCAGCTGATGAGTGTGACTTTCGTGTCTGCCGTGGACTGGCCGCTGCGATTTGCGTACAGCACTGGGCCCAACACAACCTTACACCTCCAGTATCAGACTGACGAGTGGCAAGGCATTTGGTCGTCGTCGGGTGCAAATGGGTGGAACACCACCAGCCTTTGGATTCCAGCATCGGCCAGAGCTTTGAGGTTCTTGACCGACATGCGTGATGAAGACGGTTTCGCTGCCATTGATGAGGTTGTCCAGACAGAAATGTGTGGTAACTTCAGATGCCCATATGGCTACGTCAACCGCGCTGATACCGCAAACAGTGTTGCAGACAATGCGGACCTTTGCTGTCAAGGAGAGAGCGTCTGGACAGTTGTGACCCACAGAGGGTTCATCAAAAGCACAAGCGGCAAATGCTTGAGCCCAGCTGGTTGGCCAGGAACTGTAGAAAATTCGCCTGTGACACTTGGCCTTTGCGATTTCAGCACCAACACTGACCAAATCTGGGAGATGAATTCCGCAGGTGCTATAAGAAACTTGTTGAGTGGCCAGTGCCTAGATACAAAGAACAGCAGCCATGCGATTCTACGTGAACTGTTAATTACGCGCAAATGCTCAGCACAGAATGTTGTCTGGACATATCACGCAGGAAATGCTTCCCTGCAAGGTGGAGGACGTTGCCAGCAAGCTACCCTTGGAGGGAAGGAGAGTGAGGTGGCTCCAGCACAATGCAATGGTAGCAACCCTGCTCAGCATTGGCAGTTTGTGTCAGCTGCTGTCAGCTGCAACTTTGAAGATGGCCTATGCATGTGGTCAGTCGAGTCAACCAGCACATCCTGGCGGCACGTCCACGCTTCCAGTTTACCAGACGGTTTGGAAGTTGCAGCTTTTGCAGGGTCTGGATTTGCTGCTGCGCAAGAGTCCGCATCCCAGCTGATGAGTGTGACTTTCGTGTCTGCCGTGGACTGGCCGCTGCGATTTGCGTACAGCACTGGGCCCAACACAACCTTACACCTCCAGTATCAGACTGACGAGTGGCAAGGCATTTGGTCGTCGTCGGGTGCAAATGGGTGGAACACCACCAGCCTTTGGATTCCAGCATCGGCCAGAGCTTTGAGGTTCTTGACCGACATGCGTGATGAAGACGGTTTCGCTGCCATTGATGAGGTTGTCCAGACAGAAATGTGTGGTAACTTCAGATGCCCATATGGCTACGTCAACCGCGCTGATACCGCAAACAGTGTTGCAGACAATGTGGACCTTTGCTGTCAAGGAGAGAGCGCCAACTGGACAGAAGCATGGGGGAACAATCCTCCACAGGTTTTACAACACAGCGCAGCGTTGGATGGAGATGCAAATGTCTGGGTTTATGGGGGCAAGATAGAGCATCTGGATAGGAGAGGATCTGACTACCGTGTATCTGCAAATCTGTGGAAACTTGACCTCAAGAGCAGTGTTTGGACCTTGTTCTCTGTTGGCCCACAGGGCCGCGCCAAGCACCGGGCAGCTCTCAGCGGGAGCCTCATGCTTGTCCATGGCGGAGAGCATGAAGGCTCAGTGCGATATCCAGCCGAGGTACTGCAGTATGACATACAGAGCAACCTTTGGACCACAATTGCGCCACGCATTGCCCCTTCCGGCCGCGAGGACCACAGTGCAGTAATCGACGAAATCGGTCGATTGTGGGTTTATGGCGGATGTGCGACCAAGAGTGATGACTGGCTTGAGTTTTCGCTGCAACCCCAAGCGCTGTATGACCTGGTTTTCGATGATCTTTGGCATCTGGATGGGGCTGCCTGGACGCAGGTGACCAACGCCGTTAGCCGTAGCGGCCCTGTGCCACGCTGCGGCCATGCAACGTGGGTGGCCTCCAACCGCATGTGGATCTATGGGGGCCGAACCGGGCAAAACAGCTTCAAGTCTGACTTGTGGTTCCTCGACTGGACATCGTTGCTCTGGACCGAACTGGATCATGGCAACGGTGGCAACGCGGCTCCCGGCGGTTTCGCACCTCCTCCCCTCATGAACTACGCTGCGGTGGCAGCCGACAGCCGGCTGTGGCTGTGGGGTGGAGGGGCACGCGGCAAAGCTTTTCCTTGGATGCCAAACCTGGACCTATGGTGCCTTGACTTGGAGGCGCGGACATGGAAGTTGATTCCTCAGTCTGCAGCCACGAACAAGCTGTACATAGCTCAAGAGCATGCTATGGTGATGGACAGGCTTGGTCGCTTGTGGACAGTGGGGGGTGCTAATGCGACGGACGATCCATATTCTTTGCGTGTAAGCTCCTGGGAGGAGCATCAGACTGTGCGCGCAGTGTTCTCCATTGCCACAAGGCCAGTGCCAGACTGCCCAGTTGGCTTTTATGCTCCCCTGGAGGAAGTGGTAGTTGATGGCATGGGTTGCGCACCTTGTCCGCGGGGTACATGGAGCAGCCGCAGTGGTGCCATTGGTGATGCATACTGCACGCACTGCCTTGAGGGCATCACCACAGCCACACCTGGAGCTACCAGCGCCGAGCAGTGCATCACCCCGGACCCTGGCCAGAAGCAGACCTGCCTCGCCGGGAAGATTTGCGTGGGCACCTTCACCGGATCTGGGCTGTCAGATGGATTTCTTCTGCTTATCTCAAGTGTGAATTGCACCATGCCGAAGGTATTCACTCCCGGACTTCCGTTGCGTGGCGTTTCGCTGCCTTCCAGAGCGCAGGGTCGCCAATTCCAATGGGGCGACTCCCCTGGCGATTTTGTGCCAGAAGGTGGCATCTACAACTTGTGCTTCTGTGCCAAGGTAGATGCAACAAACTGCCTCAGTTTGGATGCAGACTTTGGAGTCACTGTGGGCGAGTTGCGAGTTCTTGGGCCGACCCCGTCTTTGCAAGGAAGCTTCACATGCGTGCGGGGCCAGTTATGTGATGGCCTTGGGCCAATTTTGGGAGTTGGTTTCTCTGCTACGGATCAAATCATTGCACAGAGCACGCGCTGTGGCACAGTTGGAAGGAACTACGCCAGGGCCATCGCTAGGCTTGATGGAGCAAGCTTCGTGCTGGATTTTGGTCTTCTGAATTTGGATGCTGATGCTGTTGGAATTTTTATATGCTGGTGTGCCATGGCCGACTCAAGCTGCCAGCTCGAAGAGTTCAACGTAGAAGCTGGCCGCTTGCGCGTGGAAGGACCTTTCGCCGGGCAAGAAGTGCGATGTGATACGGGCCAATTCTGCCAGCTCGCGGTCTTCGGCGTGAATTTGCTGCATGAAGACCGCCTTCAAATTCTGAGCGAGTGTGGGGGCACTGCCCTGCCTGGATTCCCCAGCCTTGGCATGTTGGCTATGTCGGAATCGGGCGGCCAGGGCGAGGTTTTCTCTTTCATCGAGAATCAGAGAGTGCTGGCATCTCCTGGCTTGTACCGGCTGTGCTATTGCCGAGGAGCTTGCAGTTCTCCATCCAGCTTCGCCGCGGAAGTTGGCTTCCTTTCTTTGGCTGGGCCTTTGAGGGCCACAACGGTCTGCCGTGCGGGGGAAGCTTGCAAGCTTGCACTGGTCGGTTTTGCCATTTCCTCCGGCGACAAGCTTCAAATCCACAGCGCCAGCTGTGGCGATGACGTGGTGCGATTCCCAGCCCTGCAAGGCTCCACATTTCAGGTTGTAGAGGTCGTAGACGGTGATGGCTTTGAGACGGATTTGGGCCAGCTACCTGCAAATGCAGTGTTGGGCTCATTTCAAATCTGCTGGTGCCCCATGGAAAGCTGCAGCCGGTCCATGTTTGCGGAAGCAGGAGAGCTGCAGATCCACTGTCCACGGGGTTACTTCGTGGAAAAGACGTCTATGACCTGTGGCTTATGCCCTCGTGGCTTTTACTGCGGCGGAGGCGATATTGACACGGCAGTTCGTGTACAATGCCCTTTGTACACCACCACGAATCTACCTGGTCAGGCTGCCGGCAGTGCCTGTGAGTGTTCTAGGGGAGCTTTTTTGGATCGTGACCTTTGTGTGCCATGTGCGCTGGGCTTCTACAAGGAGAACATCTCAAATGAGGAGGGCTGCACTGCGTGTCCAGCGAGCCAAACCACGTTCCAGCAAGGGTCCATGTCCAACACCTCCTGCATTACCCCCTCGCAAAATGGCACCGGAGCGCAAAGCACCTTTGAAGCTCCGGCGGCCATTTTTGAAATGATCCTGGAAAACCTGCCAGAGGCGAATTCGACTTCGACTCTAAACGAGCTTAGGACACTGCTGCGTCAAAAGTTTGCAGACAAGGCTGGGATCGAAGGCAGCGCAGTTGAAATCCTTTTCGGGCAAGCTGGCACGCAGCGACGGCTGTCGAATCTCAAGGTCGACGTTGCGCTGAAGTTTTACAGGCAGGCTGATGCCGCGTTTGCTTTGGATTTTGTGTCAGTGAGCGAGATTGCAGAGACTCTGGCAACTAGCACCACGTTTTCGGGCGTCAGCTTGACCAGCTCAGGCTCCCGCTTGTCGTCCTTGAGGATTGAGTGCGGCCCAAATCAGGCGATTCCGCCGGGCGTTTCGGTGCTTTCGGCCCAGGATTGCCAGTGCAAGCCTGGTTATGGCTACTTGGCTGAGACTTCAGGGTGTTCTGCGTGCAACGCAGGGGAGTACAAGGCCGATGTCGGCAACAGGCTTTGTGAGAAATGCCCGCCGCTGCAGTCGACACCTACATCAGGCAGTGCCTCGGTGGATGATTGCGTATGTGAGGCTGGTCGCTATGCAAGTGCCCCTGGACAGTGTGCGGCATGTCCAGAAGGTTTCTTTTGTCCTGGCACGGGGCAAAAGCTGCCTTGCCACAACAACTCCGTCACTCTGAGGAGCCAAGCAACATCCCAAGAAGAATGCGTGTGCAACCCTGGCTACAGTCAGAACACGTCGAACTTCCTTTGTTCTCCATGCCCACGCGGCTTCTACAAGTCAAACGCTGGAGATGATGCCTGTCAGCAGCGGTGCCCATCCAACGCGGACTCTGAGCCTGCAGCCACCGGCCCCACGGCCTGCTTTTGCCTCCAAGACCACCACGCAGTAGGCAGCGGTCTGGGCATGGCCGGCGCTTTGGAGGCGTGCGAGTTTTGCAATTACCGGGGCCTTCGCTGCCTCGGCGGCTTCGAGGGGAACCAGACTCACCAGCAGCCCACAGCTGAGCCAGGCTTTTTCCAGACGGGGGAGCGAACAGCTGTGGACTGCGAAGTGGCAATGGAGAACGGCTCCAGCGTTTGTTTGGGACATAATTTGTGCGCAGACGGGTCCACTGGCCTCCTGTGCAGTGAATGCCCTCTGGGCTTTGCTCGCAATCAATTTCCAGAGCAATGTGAAGAATGCCCCCAAAATGAAGTGGATGCAAGCCTTTTGATGACATTGGCCATCATTTTAGATGTCTCTCAAAAGTCGATATTGGGTGTCGTGACTACCTCGCTTGCAGCAAAGGCAGCAATTGCCAACAACCACGGGCTGCATTCTAGCATGATCCGGATCGGGAGCCAATGGTTCACAGCATGCTCGGTCATTGTCCAGTTCAGAATCAGCTTGCTCGAGGCGCTCGAAGTTCCAGAAGTAGCATCCGAGTTTCAAGTCTCGCATGTCACGCATGTCTCGCATGTCTCGCATGTCTCGCATGTCTCGCATGTCGCACATGTCGCGCATGTCGCGCTGTTTCCCCTGCAGGCATTTCGCTTCACCCAGCGGCAAGCTGAGCTGGAGCACAAGGCGACCTGCAAATCGGCCGGGAACTGCGATGAGCCTCCGCCTCCAGAGATTTATGCCTGGCCAGAAGAGGCCACAGACGCACTCGCATTGCTTTTGTCGCCTCTGGACATCGCGTCTCGAGTGGCACCTGTGAATTTTGCAGTGTCTTGCTGGGCAGAACAGGCTTTCCCTGGATCCAGGGTGAAAATCTTGGCTCCAGGTATATATTTCATGCTTCTGCCATTGCTGTGTGGACTGGGCAGCTTCGTTCTTTGTGGGCTCCTGGTCTTTGTTGTGGTGCCGCTTGGAGACAAGTGCGGGGTGGTCTTCAACCAAGCCGCTCAGCAGCGCTTAGCCGCGATCAGGGATCTGAGGAAGGCCCTCGCTCCGCAGCTGGAGATCTTGCAGCTGAACTTCGAAGATTTGCCCTTGCTCGACGTGCCCTTGGAGGTGCTGCGTGCCTGCGGGGCGCCAGCTCCAATGAGCTACGAGGAGTTGCTCGAGGCTCTCCGACCTGAGCCCGAAGATAGCTGCTGCATAGAACTTGAGGAGACTTCTGATGAGAAGTGGTTTGAGGAGTTGGTCTTTCAGAAGCTGCAGGCTACCCCAAGCAAGACACAGCTTGCGGCTTATGCTGTGACGATGAATCTGCTGCCCATGGACCGTCCCTATGGTGGCCCATCGGATTTGGAGGCTTTGGATTTCTCGCTTTTCACAAAGTCCCCAAGCCTGGGGAAGCTGCTGGTGCAAAGCCTGCCAGTGCTTTGGGTCACGTCCATCAACATATGGCCTCGGCTCCTGACTGAGTTCTTGCAGCTGATCTGGTGTAAGGGAATTGCTCAGGACGAGACGGTCGTCCAGCGCCTGTTCCCAGATCCGGAAGTGGTTTGCTGGTCTGCAGGCCACGCGCTGATCGCAGGCTTAGCTGTGCTTGGCCTCATCGTTTGGTGCATCGGGCTTCCGCTGCTCTTGTACCTGAGGCGTCTTCCGTTCTGAAAGAATCAAACGTCGTTTAAGAAAAGCTTAGTCTTGGGTTGAGGCAAAAGCCCTTTGAATGCCATGCGTTGCCAATCTCTGGCAATTTGTGAGGCTTCTGTGCCATGATCGGTTTGCGGCCGATGTCTACAGAAGATTCGGCTACTTCATAGAAGGGCTTGAGCCTCAATGGTGGTGGTGGGACATTGTGGTCAAGCGTGCGGATATTGCTTGCATGATGCTTGTAACATACACATCGTTCACGGATGACGACAAAGTCAAACTGCTCGTCTATCCTTTCTTGTCTGCGGTGCAGCTTTTTCTGAGCTTGTGGTGCAAACCGTTTCTGAATAGCCAGGCGGAGATTCTAGACATGTTGGAGCTTTGCCTGTTATCATCTCGATGCTTTTTCTTTTATGCAATTTCCATCATCCTGCTCTTCAACCCCGACGCTGTGCTATGTTGGATCATCGCCGGCTTTGTGATTGCCATTTTTGGGGCCATGGCATTGTATCTTCTGGCCCACATCGCAGCTCAGATGCTGCGCAAGGCCCGCGAGGATCAAGCAGAGAGCTCGGGCAACTTGCAAGCCCCAGACAGGCTTGTGAGCTTGCATGGGGCGATCTACCTCGCCCAGAAGCTCCAGCGCTTTGTTGTCTCGCACACAGTGAGCCGGTTGCTCCCCCTGTTCCAAGATGACACGCCTTGCACCTTGAAGTGGAGATCGAAGGACAAGAAGCTTTTGTTCGAGTTTGAGGACCCCGGAAGGTTGCTTTTGACACACCTGGCGCAACCATCCCTTAGGCCCTTGGGCTTGTCGCTTCGTTTGATCCTGGAATGCCTGGTGAGATGGATCTCTTTTCTTCTTCCTGCTGTTTCTTGTCGTTCTTTTTTTCCCACCCACCTGCATCCCACTGAGTGTTCGTTTTTTGTGCACTTGGAAATCTCTCGTGGGCGAGAATAACGTCTTTTGGTGACTTGTTTTTGGAACACCTGAACTACAGTCATTCAGCAATCAGCAATCTTCCAATTTAGGAGATTGCTTGCAGGGGAAATCTTTACCAGTGAGCCGGCGAATCCAGGCGATAGTGTTGAAATCGTGCACTATAGTTGGAGAGGCCTTCCTGCGTAATTCATGCTGACTGCCGCTGCAAACTGCACTTGCCAAGTAGTCAGCCGATTGCAAGTTATGAAGTTTGCTAGTTGACTTATTCATCATTGAATTGGTTAGGTAGCTGGCTAGTTGGTTGCTTATTAGAGAATTATTTGCTCGGCTCTTGGGCTAAACGTGAGCTGGTAAGCTGGTTCGGCAATCGGTTAGCTGCTTTGGCAAATAGCTATTGAAATCGCTACGCGATTCGCCGACGCCAGTGGACAGTCCCCTATTACTAAACTGGGGCTGATCAATCTGGAGTCAGCACTGGCTCAAGGGACTGACGTCGGGTGAAGGGTGCTTCGATTTTGGGGTAGGGAAAAAGATGTTCTTTTTGGCTAGGTCACGTGGGGCTCTTAACGCGTGGAAGAAGAACAATCAACGCCTCTCTGACGTCGGCTTCAGGGTGCCTTGAATTTGGGGACTGGTGTCGGCGGATTTAAGATTAGTCTGTTTTCTGAGCTAGTTTTTGCGTCACTTAGTTAATTCGTTAGCTAGTGACTCAGCTGGCTGGTGAGTTGGCTCATCAGTTAGCTACGTAGCCAGTGAGCCGGCCAGCATCTAGCCAATTAGTTGGTCAGCTGCGGGTGATTTGTTGCTTTTAAGCTTGTACCTCGCTAGTTACTCACGCAGCTGGCTGGCTAGTCAGCCTATTCGCTTGTTGGCTAGTTAGCTAGTTAGCTATCTAGCGATTTAGCTAGCCAACTCTTTTGCATGTTGGCTACTTAGCTGTCTCACCAGTTAGCGACCTAGCTAGCTAGTTAGTCAGTTTGAGACTGGGCCAGCTGTTATTTGTTAAATCGCTAGTTAATTCACCATGTAGCTAGCTAGTTGGTCAAGTAGCTGGTTGGCTAGTTGCCCGTCCCACAGAAGTTCTTTCCGAGCTTCCCTGAACTATGAGAGCAATGGACAAAATGGGTGTTGTCCCCCCACAATCAGATTTATGAGCTGGAATCGGCCATGCCAGACTCTTACTAGACTCATAATACACCTAAGAGCTTCAAGCAAACCTAGGCAGATAGATACCAATGCATATCACTAATATCAAGCCAACACCATGCTAAGCGATCCTTCTAGCTTGGATTCGGAGGAGAAATCGGGCTCTCTGCGCGCCAAAATCCGGCGACGGTCCCTACGCTTTGGACGCTTTTTCCAGAAACGCTCAGTGATCACAGGCATTGAGGACTTCGCTACACTTTGGCTGCACACTTGGAAGCGAAGCGATCTGATGAACCCTATGGAGATCCTGTGCGTGCTGGCTGCATCCGGAAAGGGGTTCAAGAACCAGCAAGGAGCACAGGAGCAATGGAAGCAGCGTGCAGCTTGCGTGCAAGAGGAGCTCACTCTTTCGCCAGATGACATCACTGCAACAATGCAGAAGCTTGCAACCATGGAGAAAGTGCATGCTCAAGATTTGGTTGACTACGTACTTTCACAAACGAGAACAGCTGAGGCATTGAAGTGCTTTGAAGAAGCTGCAGCACCTGAGACAGAAGGATTTGATTCGGAAGAACCAGACGTTGATGTAGAGGTTGTCTTTTGATGAGCAACTTCAATGCATGTGTGACGGCCATTGCATGATTTTGGCCTATGCTGTTATTGTTATCACGGAGTTTTTTGCGGCCGCATAGGCCGTTCTAAGCTGCACATACAACGGAACCATAGATGGAACCGGAATAGATTTGAACTGGCAAAGCCAGAGCTTCATTTATGCCTGCGCCGTATATCAGCGAAAAGACTTGCGCTCTGGCATTGACTTCATGCAGTGCCGTCCCCATGAGTCACGTTGGTTTTGCCCTGTCAAAATTTGCTGCCCTTTGGTCGAGTTTTTATGTGACATTTTGAATGCGAAACATAGGCTAATGAGCTGCTGACGGTGCGCACAAGGACTTCACAGTCATTTGCACTGGCGAAACCTGCATTCACAATGCAGGTCTTTCTATCAACCAGAAAACCCATTGCTACGTGCGGGAGTCCACGTGAATTCATCATAGACATAGCATGACATAGCGTCAGACGGTGGCATAGACTCCGAAATCAGCCCGTAATTGCTAACACCATCTTGACTCTCGTTTGGGGATGTCCACGCATATCGTGAGCACTGAAGAGATGAACTGAAGGGAGGGCGCCTTGAACCACGAAGAAGTCGAGGGGCATTTCTTTGTGCTTGTGTTCAGAAACAAGGGCCATTTTCTCATCTTTCGTCCAAGTTTTTTTCGACAGGCGTATTCTGTCCATAAATGCAAATGTATATGTATAGAGACATCAATGGCTCGACATGTTAAGCTTGGAGAGACTTGTGACCTGTTTACCCCTGATGTGGGAAACCTGTGAGTGTCGGCACGGCACTGTAGCTTTTCCTGTTGCGGGGCAATGTACTGATGTGCAGACCCAAGTGTAATGATTTAATGACTGTAAGATTCTGTAAAGGCGCAAGGGGTCAATCCATGGCTGAGACTGCGCGAAAATGTGCGTCGGCCAATTTAGCAGTAAGACAAATTTGTGTACTGTGAAACTGACGTTTCACATACAGTGACTAGTGCAGCGCGAATCGCGTAAAACTGGTTGTATGAGGCCTCGAAGGCCAGTTGTGTACATGTGCTTGTTAAAAACCATTTGCTAGAATGTCAACAGGGTTGTCCTCAGTGCTTTTCTCGCGCATTGTGATGATCTTGCTTTTGGCAAATTGTTGCATGAAGATGTGTCGTGTAGCTCAATGTCTTTCTTTAAAACACCTTCTCTCATTGCACTTGGTTTTGCTGCGCTGCTGTCTGTGTGTATCCTTATGTTGGTGGTACCTGCAAAGCTTCCTTGATGAAGTTAATGATGTAGAGACTTTCCTGTGCTGCTGTGCTGAAAGCGTACAGCTCTGATTCGGCTGATGAGAGTGCTATTGTTGCTTGCGTCCTGCTGCCATACTGTAGTCTTGTTCCGAAGAACTGTGTCCCAAAGCCAGTTGTGCCCTTTCTTGTTGTCTCGCATGATGCCCTGTTGGCATCTGTTTGTGCGTGTGCCGATGTTGAGGGGAATTTGCTCGTCCTGTATTTTTGTTGCCGGTTGTGTCTCATGTACAGCGTGTCAAGTGCTTGAGTTCTGGTTGTCAAACCGAGTTGGTGCGGTTGGTGCCTGTAGTGACCTTGCTAGCGCTTTTGCTCCATAGCAAATGTCTGGTCTTGTGTATGCAAGCCATTGCATCTTGCCAGCAAGCCGCCTGTGTTGTTTGTGCTTGTGGCGGTCAAGTAGCGCCTCGGCTTCTGCTGTATCTTTTGCGTGTGACACTCGTTGGCAGGTGGCTATGTCCATTCCAGGGTGCCTCTTGGCCCTGTTTGTCGCCTACCAGGGGCATCTGCAGTGCCTTGAGGTGCTGGCTTTGGGAGCCAGCCCTCTTCGGTTCGTCAATTCTCGTCGTCAAAGGCTTGGTGCTTTTGGAGCTCGCGGTTTACGTCTTATGCGCCACAATTTTCGCCATTCGTCCTACGGGTTTTTAAGAAAGACATTTTGCGGGGTTTAGAGAAGGAAGGGGGAAACTCCCGTGTCCCAGGTGGGGGAAAGCACGGCCATCCTGGGCACATCAGAGCTCGCGCCCCAGGACCTGGAGATCTCGCTCGCTCGCGAGAAGGTCGTATGCGCGCGTGGGCGATGGTGGGCGCAGATTGCGCGCCACGCTGTGGCAAGGTCAGGTGGTACCGTGGCTTGCTCACACTCTCGACGCGGGTCCATGTTTATTTGTGGGCGTGTGGGTTTGACATTGTTGCGGTCAAATTGTTTCGTTCTTTGCCATGAAAGCGCTGCTGCACCTTCAGCTCAAACATACCATGCTCGGCACTGGGACTGCAGACGGCACATTGCAGACCTTCCTCGAGTGGTTTGCTGCTCAAAATTCGGACCGGCATGCTGGATTTTGTGGCGATGCAGTTGCTTTGCATGCGCCCAAAGCATGCAGCCAAGCTCTCAGGTGTGCCAAGCGTGGCATTCAACAAGGCGGTCTGACACTGGACGTGAAACAAGTTGTGCAACGGAGCGTTGTGAAATTTCTTTGCGATGCTCAGGGCACCTGGCCGTGCGCAATCAGGATGGGCGAGGGCGTTCGCTGCAGGCCGGGGAGAATTGAGGTGGTGACGTGGGTGCATTCAATAGCATTCAATAGCAACTGCTTCTATTCTTTGAAAAGGTCTGTCCACAAAAGGGCGTGGGGGATGTGTTAATTGTCTACTTTTTCCAGACCCCATTTTTAGCACCCATGTTGTAAGGTGACGGGGCTAGTGCGATTGGCGCGAGGCCCGCGCGCGTTTCCAGCCAGAAGAGCTGATCCTGGAAGTGCCAGCCCATGCCATTCTGGCAGAGGGGAGAGCTAGCAGCTATCAGGCACGAACCTTGAGTCTGGGTCCAGAACGGATTAGTTTTTGCAGAGCAATACTTGTTGTTGGTTGGTTTTAAGACAAGTTTCAAGCGGGAACCAAGGGCAAACCACAATCTTTGGAGTTCCCTAAATAAACTTGACAGACCCAACTCATCGATGGCGGTTGCTTCCTTAGTGTCCAGCGGGCTGATTTTGCTGATGTGCGACTCCAGGCTTCGCATTGGACCCTGGGGATTGCACACCGGTTGCTTGAAGAGGCCGGACGAGTCCCATGGCGATCTGAAAGCGAATCGACCTCTTGACCTTGTGGTTTTCCTGTTTTGGCTCATGTTTGGTCAAGGTGCCAAAGGGTCAACCTTTCATTTCTGGGCCCTGGCAGCTGAGTTTTCTACTCTGCAGGACTGCTTGGGAGAAGATTCCGCCTTTGCGCGCGGGCCTTGGTGTTTGTGCTTGCGCCGCTTCAAGCACAGCCTTCCAGGCCGTATGTGCAGCTGCTTTTGGAGGGCTCGGCTGGCACGCTTTGATTGTCTTGGGGCCTTGCACTGTTGCGGTTCCTCTGGAGTTGCTTTCCTGGGTTTTGGGTTGGCCAGGCTGGGATTTTCATTGAGTAAGCTACGGCTCTCGCCAGGTTCGCTAAAATGGGTGAAATGGGTGCCTGTCCGGAGGGTTACATATGAGTACCTACTTGTAAGCCCGTACGGCCGGGTCACTAACTGTCTGGGCTGTCAAAATTCGAGGCTCCTCTCCGGATCCGCATCCCCTTGTGCCGCATTTTCAAAAACAAGCCGGCACACGGTGGTGCGGAGACTTTAAACCCGTTCTTTGCCAAAGTGGCTGGTTCGCATGCACTATTTTAGTTGCTTGCCCAAAGCCCACCTTTTGACCTTTCAGGTTTGCCTCTTTGGTCCACTTTGAGTCATGGCCCCGATCCTTTGGGCAAGTGAGTTTTGTTGCCCGGAGACTGCCAGGGCTCACCTTGAGCTGCGTTTGTGGCGTTTCCCGGCTGAGCTTGCCGTCAGGAGAGCCCCACGAGGACAGCGAAGCTTCGCTGCCGGGCATTGCTGGGCTGATGGCTCGGCAACGGAGGACGTGGGGGTCCTGTGAGGTCTCTCCGATCAAAAAGCACGGTGGGGAGTATCTGGGAGGGTTGGACTGTTTTGCCACACGCTGCTGCAACACATTGCCCGGACGAGTGCTTTGCCGTTTGTTTCGACTTGCTACTTCGACGTTCGTTTGTTTGGCCTGGCCTGGTTTCCCCGTCATCCATCCTGGTTACATGATTTCCCATCTTAGATTGGTGCAACGCCAAGAGGACTTGTCTGTGTGCCAGGCCGCGCAGCTTTTGGCTAATGCATTACATCCTTTTGGGAATGCCCATGGAAACCTGACAAACCTAGATCACAGGAACCCACAAAACCATCGCAACGACCCCATGAGTGAGTCTCGTTTCAGGGCACACCCCAAAAGACAAAAATGATGGCTTTCCCTTTGGTTTCCCTTTGAAACCACCAAACAAGGCCTTGAAACAACGACACACCCATATTTGGTTGTCCACAACCACGCTACCCTCTACAAAAGCCAGGGGTTCAAATCCCACCAATCCAAACCACCAATTAAGAGTTACTTGACATATGGGTGAGTCTCGTTCTAGGGGACGCCCGAAAATGCTGGTTTTCCTCTTGGTTTCCCTGTAATAACCCATCAAAAGCCTGGTGCCCACAAACAAAGACGCACCCATCCAGGACTCGCAAAACCGCGCAGCTGGAGGAGCTCCGGCGAGCGGCGCCCAAGCACGTGCCCCACCGCGCCAACCTAAGCTGCAACAGGAAAAGTCCCCTGACCCACATCCATTGTACAGGAAAAATCAAGAGTTTGTGTTGTGTCATTCATGTATTGATCAGTTATACGCACGTATGCTCTAGATTTTGCACATGCAGCCGTTTGTTTATGAAGAGATTTACGCACATGTGCCAAGCCACAAGGGTTTGGCAGCCAGATGTCCAGGTGTCGAACGTGCCCTCCATGCAGTAGATACGCGCACAGCTACCTGGAGTCATGTCAGGGGCAAGCAGTTTGAACAAGTGACTGGTGGGGTCTGGTTTGTTTTACTCGAGTCTGTACAGGAACGTTTTGTCGACGTCACTCTTGGAATATGCTGGCACGTGGAGCTGACTGTGCGAGGTTTATTCGCGCCCTGCTCAAGCTTGTGCACTTGTGCAGCACCTAGCGCCGTGAAGGCAGCTTCTCATTCAATGTGGCAGCACTGCTTGAGACAAGAGCTGGGTGGATCCCCAAACAAGGACCGCTCTCTAGTATGGCTTTCAGAGGAAACCAAAAAGTGGAAACCACCCGGAGGGGTTCCATATTTTGAGAAGCACCCATTTCTGGTACAGGTGCCATTCTTCGACTTTGCGAATCATAGCGCGTACCCAAATGCGAGATGGACAATGGAGTCAGACCGAGTGCTCAGGCAAGTGTATGGCAACTCTTGGAGAAGAGGGACCGATATTTGTTGAAGTGGGTTTCTCTTTCAATGGGGGTAGGCTTGTTTCGCTTTGGTTTCCGTTCTTCTTCTAAACCAAGCCCAAACATATTTTCGCACAAAAAACGACACCAATGTGCATTGACGTGATGCCTGCCAAGCACGTGGAGAGGCTTTTTGCATCGTCACACATTGACATTGACGATGAGGCCCGGAAGTTGTGAGTGAATGTATGGCTATCAGGGGCTGTCAGGTAACCATCTTCTACGACAGTCATCCCAACGCGTGCAGACCTTGGAGCATGGCTTCAATGTGTGTCAGGGACTGGGCGGTTCTCCTTCTAGTTTCCCGTGATCATCCCGAAACGTTCGAACACGACTTAGATGTTCAACCTAGTAAATGGGTTGTTCCCAAGCTTACAAGTCAGCCAACCCCGATCCCAGCAGCCAGTTTACCCGTAGGTTCAGCACAGCTCCCAGCGGTGCCAGTTTTGGACAGACGGAGGCGGTTGCTCCTGACCTATGGCTTCGTGCTTCCCGGTGATGGCCCACACAGGCGCTGTGCCCATTTGCTCCACGCCACGCATTTCTGGGGAATGGGGGGGTGTCAGGTGTGTTGACCTGGAGGTGACCAGCGTTTCCCAGGACGGAGCATCGTTTGCGCAGGGTTTTTTTTGTGTGAGGGGGAGCTGCGGGGCGATTTGTCCAGAAGAAGGCATGCAAGGCGAAGAAATGCAGCGCGAAGCAACGCGAAGCATGGGAAAGCAGCGCACTGGGTTTGCAAAGCTTCCTGCCAGCACTGTTTGTTTTATTGGTCTTGTGTGTTTTGCTCACGTATGCGCGCCAAGCGGGCCCACGTGTACCTGAAACTGGCACCGGTTGCCTGAAACGCAAAACCAAGATTTGCACGTGCGAGCAAGATAGGCGCAACTAAGCTGCACATTGACATGAGAAAGACGGCCCCTTGCAAACACATGCGATCAAGATGCACTCTGGCAAGCGCTTGCAATACACTCATACACACAAGGCACACACACACACAGTATAGATTGCACTCACAGAAACTTGCGCAGGTCGTAGAACAGAACACGGGATCCACAGAGACAGGGATACGCATACGCACACACACACAGATACATCGCCATTCACAACATAATTTTGCAAAGGCTGTGAGTCACAACAGAGCTGACTGCACTGATGACGTGAGCAGGAACACCCAACGAACAACAGAGAACAGATACACAGCACAACATACGCAGACTATTTGCATAGGACAGCTACGCAAACATGTCACTTACCCAAGTGTGGAGTTATGCACAGAACAAGTTAAGACTACGTAGGGTTTGTGCAGAACAACATGCAAGCAGACTAAGCCCAAAGGTATCTCAAACAGCCACGGAACCGGCTCCCTCAGGGCGGATTGGCGGATTGACCGCGTAGCTGTAAAGAAACAAGTTCGATAGACAGAGCATGCTCACCCAGAATCCTATACTTTCCAGGCAATCGGTTGTGCTAACCTTGGCCAGGAGGACTCAGGCAGTGGAGTTCAATTGCAGGCCCGTCAATTACTCTCGACCCCTGGACCAGGCCCCAGAGCAAAAATGTTAGCCCGGACTAATCAACCCCAGTTTAGTAGGGGGACTTTTGGAGGGGAACCCCCCCCCTTATTGATAGGCCGGGTTTGTTAATCCGGGGTCAGCACTACGCCCTTGATTTATTCTTTGTTCCCCTGGGTTTGGTGGAGAATCAGTACTTTTTGCAAGAAAAACACCATTAGTAGGATTTACTCTTTGTATTCCTTTCCCGGGGTTTGCCTGGGGTATGGTCCAGCTTTGGGAAAAAAGCAGAGCCACAGGTCCTGGCAGACGGGTCGCTGAGACGCCGGGTTTCAGCCTCGGGAGGTCTCAAAACGGATTTGGACCAAAACCAAAACGGAAGGTTTCCCCCTTCCAACTTTGAAAGAAAGTGGCGCACTCATTTCGGAGACCCGTTGCGCAACGGGTGGATGGGTGGGGGGGGGGGGCTCCCCAGGCAGCGCTCGTGCCGCTGCTTCGGGGTCTCACTGACGAAGAGCTGGCAGAACACCTGGTCAAGCAGGCGGATTGGGATGTTCATTTAAACTGATGAGAACATCGGATTCAAAGGGTTTGGTTACCGCAAAGTTTACGGGACATTTCCCCAACCAACGTAGAT